CCCGCACACAGCCATGGACTTCAACCTGGTCCTTTCTAGTCATGTGGGATCACCTTGAGAGTCCTTGCAGACATGCTACCTTCTTTACCTTGCGTACAAGGTGGTATTCCTGGTGATGAGTCATGGCCTTAAGCTCAGAGCCCCCTTATCCTGTGTTCCATAATGACCAGATGCAGCTCAGACCTCATCCTGCTTTGCTCCCATAGGTCATGTTGAAGTTGCACATTAACCAGGACATCTTTCTCTGGTGTCTTACTCTACACTGCATTCCAGGAGCAGGCATTAGAGACTCCACTCACTAGATGTCCTCAGGATGCTAGTTTTCTACATCAAGAGAATGAAGCGATTCAGAAAATCGGTCCAGCTTCTCTTGGTAACCGTGGACAGAATGAAAGGTCACAATGCATCTCCTCAGCGATCACGTCCCATATTCATGAGTTCTTCAACCCAGCTGGGGTTCCCACACCCCCAGTTACTGTGCAGGCTTCTTCTTGGCTCAGTGGCCCTCTCAGGAAATCTGCAGGAGTGACACCATGGTCCTCCCTCCACACTTCCACCGTGCACAATGCCATCCCTCGGCAGGCCAGAGACAATGTGGCCTTTGGATGAGCAGTGCCCCAGTCAGTGAACAACTCTGACTTGCCTCCTGAAGTTGGACTTGAGTCACCTGCTTGGAATTCATGTGAGCAAGCACCCAAAGAGAAAATGGCAACTCACCTCGTAATGGTTGTTCTTTGAGATGGGATGTTAATGTCCGTGTAACCGGCAAGAAGGAACTGAGGTGGTGGCAAGTCACTGGCAGGGCTCTATATTGGGTGCCATGAAGGCACGGCGGGGTCCAGGCCGACCTTCCGGAAGCTTCTAGGGAAAATGTTGCAGCTGCTGTGCACATGCAGGCACGCGCACCTGACTGGAATGGACGCGAACAGCCCATTTAAAAGAACAGCAGCTACGAGACAGTGAGTAACCATTTTTTACAATTTTCAAACTCTCTGAATAAAGGGGAAGGGGGTTTACAATGATCAGAGCAGACAATCTCCACCAATGGTTTTCTTAATAAAGCACCAGTTCGGTTTTACAAGCATGGAGTCCTTTTAAGTTATTACCCAGCATGAAGTTGAAGAAACACTGATATTGGGACCTGTTAGCTCATCTTTTGGCTTCTCCCTGCCTGACTCCAAACATCCCCTGACCTCACTCTCCCTTTCCCTTTGTGCTGCCTTGCTTGGGGGCTTCTTTCTTGCAGCTCTGATAACCTCCAAAACCCTGCCTGGACACTCAGGCTGTGTCTTGATGGAACAGCAATGCACCCAGGAGGGGGTGTGATTTCTAGGGCACTCCGTTGCACT